CTGCTGTGTTCGTCCAGCTCTACACCTGGTTGTCACACATCAACTGAGCACTGGATTGCCCTAAATATTTTTGGTTGACAGCACCCGCCCACAATATTATCCCTATGAAAGGCTCCTACTTTCCAAAGTTTATCAAGCCAGACATTTTCTGCAAAATTACAAACACTTTGATCTGCCCCGCCTACTGGTATTGGTACCCATTCTTTATGATGGCAATTTGTTAAGATTTAAGGTTAAGAATGAACACAGCTGTGCACATGGATGTACATGCAGGTAATAATGATTCTACTTCTGCCAAGAGAGTCAGTTTATTTTACTGTCTGAAGCCAATGAGCAGAATTCAAATGTTACAGCACAGAAACAGGTCAGTTGGTGTACACAGTCTGTGCATTTATTTTATTTAAGTTACTCAAAATCATGCTATCCAGTTCACTCCCCTTCCCATTATCCTTTAATATTTCTCTTTCAAGCCATTAATTTTTTTTGGAAACATGATCATCAATCCTACTTCAGTGGCTGTCTGTAGTACTGACTTCCAGATTTTACTTATCTTGTTGAGAACATTTTTTAAAATTTCCACCTTGGTATCAAATTTCCATCCACTTAATGTCTTGCCAACCAGTTGAAATAATCTTACTTATCTTTTAGTAATCTTGATTACCTCAACTCAGGAAAAAACGTTTCATTCCAGTGTGAAACTGCATTTTTAGTACCATCCAAATGAGTCTATGCTGTTCATTTCTGATGCATTTATGTCCTTCCTACAATTACATATAATATTGTAATTGCTACCTAACTACAATCTTGTACAATTTCAACATTAGGTTTTTCCTCAATAGACTATGCCACAATATACAAAACCAAGAATTCCACTTATCCTTTTATGATGCTGCCGATTTCAGTGACATGTCTTACAGCACACCAAAAGACCTCAACTCCACTTGTTCATTGAGAGGTTGTCTATTTAAGGAGCATTACTATTCTAGCAATAATATCACTAGGCTATTGCCTCATCTAGTATGGCCAGAACACTTCAAGAACTATCACCTCATGATCTAGGATAGAATTTAAGGAAAATGCTGTAGGAGTGAGCAAAAATCCCTGTCATTTAGAATAGTGGATCAAAACACCTGGACTTTTAATAGAACTTTTAAAACAACATAAAAAAAAGCAACTGGGTCATGCTCTGGAATACAGAACCACGGGGCTAGCTGTCTGGAAGCCCGGCTTGGTTAGAAATCCTATTCGCACCTTAGCCCTAAAGGAACAATGAACCAGACCTAAGACAACATCTTCAGACATCTTGGACTCTTAGAGGTACCAAGGCATTCAACTTTAATTAATATTCATTCACAGAAATACTGGACATTCCACTTAATCAAAATGCATTTACACTTACTCTAAACCATCAGGAAGCCAATTCACCACAAAGAGGGCAACAGAAACACAATGGGTAGCACAGATTTGCGAGGTGATAACAATGCACACAGTCTGTAATAACGGCTGGCCCTGATCTGGGAGAGCGAGCGAGCCATTCCTGCAGCTACCAACAGAACAGGGATCCAGACAGCTACTCTCCCTGGGAACTGCACAGCTATCTCCCCGAAACTTACCGACACAGGGCTGTTCCATACCAGGGGAACCAATGGTAACCAACCACAACCAGCAGATCTGACGACCCACAACCTCCGAAAACCACCAACGCGACTGACAAGGCCTCAGACACATCCTGAAGTGAAAACCAGCTCACAAAACCACCACAAAGCAAGAAAACCCAAGTTCTCAAACCAGACTGAAGACCTACACCATCTGAAGTCTTCAGCGAAACACCGGCTACAGCAAGTGGGAACAGCCAGCTGTATTTCAAAGTCGTGTTTATCCCCAGTGGTGAGCCTACTTCCTTGAGATCCAAAGTATTCGACCTAGCTAGCAGGGAGGAGAAGGTGGTTTGGTGACAATGCAGGACACCCCAAGGTCAGGAAGGCTGATTAAAATGTCTGTGTTTGAAACTACTGCTGAGTTTCTAATAGTAATTAGCTGGTGTTAAGTTAATAACTAATAATGTCAGTTTCACTGTTTTAAATTTGCCATTTTAATCACTTGTATTTTATTCATCTTTGTGTTATTTCCCTGTTTATTACTTTTGTCTTTTTATTTCTTGTGATATACTCACTTTTGCATTTAATAAACACAGAGATTCTTTGCCCCTGAAAAACCTGTCTATTGCCTTCTTCACTTCACATTCCTGAATTATATCCAGTGTCAGAACCTGGGACCTGGTGTGTGATCCAGGCTGCCTGAGAGTTCGGGCAGGGTTACCGATCACGTAGAACTCCCTACCATGTCTGCCCATCATTTTTATTCTTTTAATTGGCTACATTAATGCAAAACAATTCTATTGTTTCCAGTTTCAAAAGTACAGAGATTCAGAAAAAAATTGGCATTCATTGCTGATAGGTTAAGGTCATATCTCAATATCTGGAGTATTTGATAATCACTGGGGCCCAAGGTCAGGTCAGGTCAGGTCAGGTTTCGGTCAAGGTAAGGCAAACTTCATCAGTTTTAAAGCCAGGAACTCCAGTACTAGCTCATAATCTCAACATGTAAGACTGAACACTCCAGGGTAAAAGAATGTTCAGTCTGAGTATCAGGCAACAGCACAAAGACCTAACTGTTCTTGCGCTGTTGAATCATAGAACATAGAACTGTACAGCACAGAAACGGGCCCTCTGCCCCCGAAGTTGTGCTGACAATGACACCAAATTAAACTAATCCCTTCTGCCTGCCCTCGGTCCATATCACTCCATTTTTGCATACTCATGTTTGTCTAAAAACCTCTTAAATGTCTCCAACACCAAACCCCCCCACCAGCGTGTTCCACATGCCTAACACATTCTGTGTTTTAAAAAAAAAACTTGCCCCTCACCTTAAATGTACGCCCCTAGTTTTAGGCATTTCAACTCTGGGAAAAAGATTCTGACCATCAACCATATCTATGTATCTCAATTTTATAGACTTCTATCAAGTCTCCCCTCAGACTCTGCTGCTGAAGAGAAAACAATCCAAGTTTTTCTAGCCTCTCCTTATAGCTCATATCCTTTAATCCAGGCAGCATCTTGGTGAGCCTCTTCTGCACCCTCTCCAAAGCCTCCACATCCTCCCTGGACCACGGGCACCAGAATTGAACACAACACTCTAAGGGTGGCCTAACCAAAGTCGTATAAAGCTGCAACGTGACATCCTGACTCTTGTATCAATTGCCCGACCATAGAGGCAAGCATGCCATATGCCTTCTTTATCACCTGATCTACTTGTGTGGCAACTTTCAGGGAGCCATGGACTTGAACCCCAAGATCCCTCTGTACACCAATGCTGTTCAGGGTCCTGCCGTTAACTGTATACTTTTCTTTAACATTTGATCTCCCAAAGTACAGCACCTCACACTTGCATGGATTAAACTCCATCTGCCATTTCTCCACCCATATCTGCAACTGATCTATATCCTGCTGTATCCTTTGACAACCTTCCACACTATCCACATCTCTGTTGATCTTTGTCTCGTCTGCAAACTTACATCATTACCCATCTACATTTTCATCCAAGTCATTTATATAAATCACAAACAGCATAAGTCCCAGTATGGATCTCTATGGAACACCACTAGTCACTGACCTTTAGCCTGAAAAACATCCTTCCACCACTACCCTCTGCCTTCTATCAGCAAACCAATTCTGAATCCACGTGGCCAAGTCACCATGCATCTTAATCTGGATGAGCCTACCATGAGGTACCTTGTCGAAAGCCTTACTGAAATCCATGTAGACAACATTCACTGCTCTACTCTCATTGAATACCTTTGTCAGCTCCTTGAAAAATTAAATCCAGTCAGTAAGGCATGACTCGCCCTGCACAAAGCCATGCTGACTGTAACTAATAGGCCATGCTTTTCGAAATGAGCATAAATCCTATCCTTAAGAGTTCTCTCCAATAGCTTCCCAACCACTGATGTGAGACTCATTGGTCTAGGGTTTCCTGGATCATCCCTATTTCCCTTTTTGAACAGAGGACCAACATTACTCTATTATTGGAATAATTGATCTTCTCCAGCATAGGTGGCCATTCAAACCACTGTATTTCATCCAGACAGCAAGTAATCATCGAGCCTAAACTCATTTTCCAACTCTTGGTCAATAGTTAGTAGGCTATGGCACTTCAAGTACATATGGTCCCCGAATTCCCTCTGAACCTCCAAACATCTTGTCCCAAATCAAAGCAATCGCATTATGGACTTTTCAATCAATAAGATTTGGGCCTTCCTTTTGCCTTTATCTAGACCTTTTTTAAAAATACACTTCACTTAGATCTTTCCTTAGCTTCCTGTGTTCCAAAGTCACTTGAAGCTTAACTCTTGTAAGGGATGCTACAGGGAATTACATAATACAATGGCTACTGCAGACTGGTAATCTCCAGAAGTGTTTTTGATGCAGGTCATTGAATTCAGGAGTCCAATTTATTACACACACAAAAAGAAATCCAATCCCAGAACTTTATGAAATCTTCAAATAAGTAGTCAGTCAGTCTGGTTAACCCCACTAGATTAGTCTAGTCAACAGCAGAATCAAGCCACTACACAGGCACATCTCATATACTCACAATTCAGAGTCCTGCTTAAAAGTCAGAATTAACTCATGAAATTTCACCTTCCCTTGTGTAATTGTGAAAATTTCATTTTTTTGTCATTGCTTAATTGTTGGGAATTAATTACTCTAAAAGGAGCTACCTGGGATTGGCTGCTAATCCCAGCAGTGCAATGGAGCTGAACTGTCTGTTCATATTATTACTCCACAGTTTGGATTGCTTGATCTATTGTTGCCACATGTACTGAGGTACAGTGAAAAATGTTGTTTTGTATGCTATACAGGGAGCTCTAACATACAAAGGTGCATCAGGGTAGCAGAACAGAGTGCAAGAATACAGTGTTACAGCTGCAGATAGAGGTCAGAATAAACAGCTTTTCAGTGACAATGATTTAATCTACACGCAGTTTGTAGTATCATCACAGAGATCAGCTAAACCAAATCCCTGACAGTACCATCAAATATTCGAGGCAAAGAAAGAACGGTGAAGAAAACTGTAGATAGAAATAACATTACTCAGGGAGATGAACAGCTTGAACCGACATGTATAAAATCAAGAGGCTTACCATCATCGTCAAATTTTCTTTTCATTTCTTAGAAGAGGCCACAATCCTTCAGGTTATTTTTGATGATGACATCAGTGACTGCATCAAATACAAACTGCACGTTCTTTGTGTCAGTGGCACAGGTGAAGTGTGTGTAGATCTCCTTGGTATCCTTCCGTTTATTTAGGTCTTCGAATTTGGTCTGGATATACCCCGAAGCCGCATCATACTCGTTCACCCCTGCATTCAAAGAAAGAATCAATGATTCACGTGGAAAAGAGCAGATAATCTGAAGGGTACTCGTAAACTTTGCTCTTAACCATTTAGTCTGTTTGGTGGACACATCCAAGTCAATTTTGACATGGTCATCAATTAAAGTCTCAACTACCACCCTACTCTTTCAGAAGAGAGAAAAAATAATTCATGCAGTTTCTCACTGAATAGCTGCCAATCTTAAAACCAAAAAAAAATGCTATTTACACCTACATCTTATCATCAAATTTTAGTTTGTCAATTACATTTCAGTATTTTAGTTTCAGGTGCGCACCATCGAAGATGTTCTCAGTACCACACCTAATACTGCAAACTCTGAGCATTTGTAGAGGAGATGATCAAAGGCTCTCCCCCTTGGCTTCTCTAGACCACAATTTGAATGTTGTTGCCAGTTTTAATTCCCAAGACAGAAGGGAGAAAAATGACAGTGCACTGGCAATATACAAGGCTGATATAAATAAGGCTTCTCTCAATTGTTAGAACTGAATGATAAGGAAAACTGGAGAAAGTCTTGAAACTGAAATGGAGTTGCTGAGAGGAGACTTTACAGAATGAGCAATATTAATTGATAAATACAATTAACAAATTTCTTCAAATTAAACAAAGATGTGCTGGCGACATAAGCTAAGCTAAAGAAATACCAGTGTGATACAGGCAGAAGGAAGAGTTACTCAACACAAGAATGATAATTTGAAATGACCTCCCAAGTAGGAGAATAAAAGTCAAGGCCTTTGATTCACAAACACAACCTGGTAAAGGAAAATTGCACATTCTTCTTCCAGGACAACACTTTGGCTCAGTGGTCAGTGTTGCTGCCTCACAGCACCAGTTCAATTCCACCCTCAGGTGATTGTCTGTTTGGAGTTTGCACATTCTCCCAGTGTCTGCGAGGGTTTCCTCCCACAGTCCAAAGATGTAGAGGATTGGCCATGCTAAATTGCCCCATAGTATCCAGGGATGTGCAGGCTAGGTGTGTTAGCCATGGGAAATGCAGGGATACAGGGATAGGGTAGGGGTGGGCCTGGGTGGGATGCTCTTCAGAGGGTTAGTGTGGACTCAATGGGCTGAATGGCCTGCTTCCATACTGTAGGGATTCTATGGCATTTATGTCCTTACAAACTGCAGTCAACATCAGAACACTCATTTGAGATAGACTAGAATTGGTAATGGAGGTTTACCAACTACCCTAATTTCACCAGCACAAGAAAACTCATGGGGAAAAAAGTGACTTTAAGAAATGGGTGGCACTTCTGCCTCTCAGCATCAGGGACCCAGGTTCAATCTAACCTCAGGTAACTGTCTCTGTGGAGTTTGCAAGTTCTCCCCGTGTCTGTGCGGGTTTCCTCTGGGTGCTCCGTTTCCTCCCACAGCCCAAAGTTGTGCAGGTTAGGTGGATTGGCCATGGGAGATGCAGGGTTACAGGGATAGGGTAAGGGGGTGGGTCTGACTGGGATGCTCTTCAGAGGGTTGGTGTGGAGTCAATGGGCTGAATGGCTACTTCCACATTGGAGGAATTCTATAATTTCTATGAAATAAGCTTATCCAGTAGAACATCTCAATAGTCTGACTCGTTGCCTGTTTAGAGAGAAGTAGAGAGATGGAATCAGACTAAAGAACAGACATCTGTTATACTGAATCTGCAAAGTCTTCTCTTCTGGAGCCAGTATTAATGCAATGCAAATGACTGTGCACATGGTGCAGTGGTACCAGTCTAGCTGCGCTGAACAACAGCTATTCATCCTGGGTTGAGGAGAAAGTCATTCCACATCCTCAGAATTACAATTCTGAAAATGCTTGTGGGTTAAGCATTTAATTAAGAACAACCATCTCTGCCTGCTGCCTTTAGACTGATTTATTTAATCCAGGTCTCGAGTCTCCAAAGCCTGAGGCAAAAGTGCACACAAAGGATTAGCAAGAGAGTGAGTTTCCACACCAGATGGGCTCAGTGAAACAAGCTGTTTCACAATTTCAGTTAAACCTTGGCAGCAAATGGAAGTTTCAAATTAGCAAGCTCAAATTGCCTGGATATTTGGTCAAGCAGTGGGCTTATTTTCATATTGGTAGAATTTAATATACAAGTTAAGCACTTCGAATTGACAATAACAATTCTGAAAGCTATAAAGTTTCATCAGGGTTATATCTTTGCCTCTTGCAATAATACTCAGTGAAGGGAGGGAATGAAGTGTGCATCAGGGATGCATGGCAAATGAATGAAGGCCAGCTTTTCAATTCCCGCAAAACAACGTTCCGACTAAGATACATTCCATGAAGAGAAGATTGTTTGGGAGGATACAGGAAGAAAGGGGAAGACTTGCCTAGCAACCAAAACAAGAATGGCAACTGAAAGAGACCTGGAAACATGCAACCTTTTATAACCCAAATGACCGGTCTGCTATTTGGCGACAAAGTATACGTGCGCACGTGCATGCACATGTGAGAAGTTGGTAGAAAGGAGCTGGCAGGAAACGGTGAGACACACTGCTTGCTCTCCCATGAGGTGGTGACAATTGCAAAAGCATGGGAGTAGGTAACTACCCACCCCACTCTTAGAAGAATTGTGCACCTTCTGTCCTTCCATAAGCATTTTTCTAATTCTGCCTTTTTCATTTCATTTTGTAACTGTGCTTGGAATCCAAAAACTTAACGAGGGAGAGGTGTTAGTCAGAGAATACCAAGGAAAAATTAAGAGAAAACACATTTCATCCATGGACCAGAAAAGAAGTGCATCACCTGATTTTAATCCTCACAAAGCACAATGCCTGATGCATGCCATGTTCCGACTTGGCAATAAGAAAAAAGAATCAACTAGAAATCCTACTCTTGAATGATATCCAGTGCCGTCAGCTGGAAAATTTACCAGATAAACAAGGGTCCAGACTCAATTTTGACGCTCCAATGACCAAGCAGCCACAAATCACTTAAAAGTCACATGTGGGCTGGTCATATGTGCAATGACGTGTACCTCAACTTACCCAAGTACACTCAGAAGGCAGGAAGAGATAACTAGGAGAAAAAAAAGAAGTCTTTCACTTTCTTCCTGAAAAAAAAGACTCACGTTTCAGACTGAAAGTGACACAGCCACTCATGAACATTTTCCAAGGTCTCAGACTATTATCAATCCACTGATACCTTAACATATGTCCCAAGTGGTCAAGTTTATAGTGAACAATTTGTGCAGAATTATATAAGACAGGAGGTCATTTAACTCATCATTCCCCTTACCAGCTCTTTGAAAATGTTATCCAATTTGTCTCATTTTTGGTGTTTTTTTCTCTAAAGCCCTAAAACAGTTCAATTTCTGATATTTCTTGAATTTCATTTTGAAAGTTAATGTTGAATTTTCTCACACTAATTTTATGTGCTGATCTTTCAGGAGCAAAGTGCTGTGCTCCACAGGGCATAAATACAAATATACCCAGCTTCTTTCCAAACAGGAACATCTGGTGAGCACGAATATCACTGCCAACTGCACGTGGCAGAAAGGCCATGGTGTTAATGCAGGAATTGAAATGCAAAGTTATTCTCTGCTATACGGTGAAGTGCTGGTCTCAGAATCTGGTAAATTAACACAACCTAGATAATACCAGATGGGAATAAGTCAGTCCCTTTCATCCAATGTGCAAGAAGCATGACAGTGAATCATTCGTTAACTGTAAAGTGCCAGACATACATGAAGTGCTAATCTGCATCCATTGTGTATGCACAGTAGCTGCCAGAAATCTGCTCATCAACTGCACAGGGCCTTGAGATGTTTACGATATTATTTAATGTCCATAAGGTTTTAGAGTAGATCTGTAGCTCGGGTTGTGGGTGTTGAGGTTGGTTGATTGGTTGCGGAACAACGAACCAGCTCGGCGAGCCAACCAACCCCTATTTAAATGTCCAACAACAACTTTTTAAAAAATATAACGGATGTTGTTCACAGATGATATGGACCTGGGAAACAAACTACTCTGTTGATTACTCTAATTTTTTTTACAAGAACGCACATCTTACACTAGCAAAATAATAATGCCTTAGTGCAAAAAAGCAATTTGCATATCATAGTAACCTACAGTGCCTGTGATGCAACAAATGCGTATTAACTACGTGTTTATAATCATTCACAAATTGACATGTCTCTTTCTGGCAATAAAACACCACATGGTGACCTAAAGAGAAGAAATATACGTTAAGAAAAAGAACAGAAATTCAGGAACATGCTCAATAAAGCACAAGGATTCTGGAAAGCTTAAAAAGAGAATTCCACAGTGGTAACTAAAATCTTTGGGACTAATGGTGAAACAGTGATGCCATAGTCTATAGATTGAAGAGCACAGTGAGACCGCTGGGCTATAGGACCATACAGAGGAGGGGGCGCAATGAAGCTACATTGTTACTGAAAAGCAGGGAATGTGCTCAGCAAGAAATGATCAAGATCAGTAGTGAAAGGCAGAAATCACACGACACCAGGTTACAGTTCAACAGGTTTATTTGAAATCACAAGCTTTTGGAGCCTCAGTCCTTCTTCAAGTGTTAGTGAGAGAGGTAGTATCAGACACAGAACTCAAAAGTAAAAGATCAAAGGTTCACACCATTTACGAGGATGTACTGAACAAACCTAAGATGCTGTTAAATCAGTTAGAAGGTTTTAATTGATTAAATGTACATGTAAATCCCAAATTCCTTTCAAGTCACAGTCCTGAGAGATTAAAGGTTTTATCAGTGTAAAGAACCTTAGGTTTGTTTAGCACATCCTCATCAATGGTGTGAACCTTTGATCTTTTACTTATAAATTCTGTGTCTCATACTACCTTTCTCACTTACACCTGAAGGACTGAGGCTCTGAAAGCTTGTTTTCTCAAATAAACCTGTTGGACTATAATCTGGTGTTGTTGCATTTCTGACTTTGTCCACCCCAGTCCGACACATCCACATCAGTCATAAAAGGACCAGAGAGATGAATAAGGTAGTGTGTGTCATGCATA